CGGCGCACGAAAGTGCATGGTTAATGGTTGTTCAAACTGAACTGAACTATCCCCACTATATGAACGACGACTATCGATGCCATGATGGACACCGAGGTGAATCTCATTGGGTGACAGACGACCAACGCGTGCGTTTAGGGCTCCGGCCAGGATCACGATTTCCGTCTTAGGTGCTTTGAGAAGAAGCTCATGTAGATTGTGATAGAAGGTATCCTTGATTGTCTGTAGGAGCATATGCAGAAACCACGAATAAGCACCGTTCATTTGGTTTCTGCTTTTAGACCTTACTTGAGCCTCTGAGTCTCACTGCACATAGTCGGCTATTTATCGGGATCCAATCCAATAGACCAGCTGCGGCCCTGGCGCTTAAGGCAATACCAACACCTGTTTGAACAGACGCTGAAGCGATAGGATCCCCGGAAACGCGCAGTCGAAACTATTCTTTGGGATTGGAAGGAGACATTAATCGGATCACAGCTCGGAGCCTGAATGCGTGTTTCCGAGAGGCAGCACGCATCAGTCTCTAGACTTCTGAGCGTACAAGCCAAACCTGCCTGTTGTCCTATAGAGTTCTAACGTTGAACGAAGCCAGTGTGAACGCAGAGTGAGGTCGGAGGAATGGAATGGTCAGCTCTGAATGGTAAGGCAATGTCGAGACAGATATCAAGGAGGATAGCGGCGAGCTACAACATAAACCTACGTCAGTGGAGCCGTTCGGGGCGGGGCATGTAGGAGAAGAAATAGTATTATGTGGGGGTGTGAGTTGAAGTGTTGCGTGCAGATTTTAAGGGAGAGCTTTGCATGAGTGTAAAACTCTGAAGTATGTGTGTATGCGTGATTTCATAAGTTCATGGATTAATGAATCCGATGGCATACTGAAATTCTTCGTTTTCTCTTCGACTCTACTTTTAATTTTCCTGTCTTTCTCCTACTGTTCATCCAAATGGGGAGCTAAGCGACAGCAACCAAAACCAGCGCATAGAAGTGCATGATTAAAGGTTGTACAAAACTGAAAACCCAGTGTCCTGGTTAGGCTCTTCATACTCCCATGCCAGGTCTTATTTTGACCGCCTTTGACCTTTTTCCATCCAAGAACTACCTCCGCAAAAGTTGCGCACCGTGAAAACCTATTTGGTGACATGTCCCAACCACCGTAGTCTATGGAGGTCGACCATTTGTCCCCGACGGCTACCCAAATCTCTGCGTCTAACCTCAGCATTGCCTGCCCAGTTTTCCACCAGAATCATGCAATGCGGCGTAGACGCCGGTGTTCAAACACCGGCATTCTTTTTTTTTACAGTAATTCGTGATGGTCAAGTTTCTACACCGTAGATTGGGACCAGCCTGACTTGTGCAACGTATACTTGACCCTTCACAGAACGCCGGAAGTCGCCACAGCGCCACAAATGTCTCAACTTGGCAAATGCCAACCGAGTCTTTTGTTTGCTTGCCGATACTTCATCCTTGATGCATCTGCCAGGTGAGATATACTTACCTAAATAGGAAAATTTGTCTACTTCATCTACTGTCTTCCCCAGTTTGAGTGAGATTGGGGTTGGGTCGACCCAATCTTGCAGCAAAATTTTGCACTCTGGAGGTGCAAAACGCATGCCAGCCTGATTCTCACGCGTACGCTCTTCATGTGCGGCAGACAATCAACGAAATATGATCCCAGCAAAAAGTTCAGAAGCAGTGTTGGGGGTATCACAGGATCTGTCACCTTTCTTGTAAATTGGTATGATGACCGATTCACAGAACATGCTGTTCACGCACGTTCATTCATAGTTACTTCTCACACCATTTTCAGCACTCCTTTTCAATAACTCCATAAATGAAATGCATTATCCATTTTTAATTTTTATTTTCAGATATACTTATGGCCGGCCGAAAGAAGATATTGTTGAAAGTAATCATTGTTGGAGACAGTGGGTAAGATCGTGCGGTTTCAATATCGCTCATTCGTTTCAGCGTCGGCAAGACGTCTCTTATGAACCAGTATGTTACCCGCAAATTCAGCAATCAGTACAAGGCCACAATCGGTGCGGATTTTTTAACCAAAGAGACCGTGGTTGATGACCGCGTGGCTACGCTGCAATTATGGGATACGGCTGGCCAAGAACGGTTCCAGTCTTTAGGAGTAGCGTTCTATCGTGGCGCCGATTGTTGTGTTCTCGTTTACGACGTCACTATGCCATCCACATTCAAGGCACTAGAATCTTGGCGCGATGAGTTCCTCATCCAGGCCAGCCCTCGGGACCCGGAGAACTTCCCGTTTGTGGTTATNTGCGACCTACCCAATCGAGCCGTAAGTGAGGATGTATTTTATCGACGGTTCCACTTCGAGTTAAGATATCTGATTTGCTTGTGTAATTTACTATCTATCTATCTATTTTCTTCCCACAGATTGCTGAACGGCGAGCGAAACAATGGTGCCAATCCAAAGGCAACCTTCCTTATTTCGAGTGCAGCGCAAAAGAAGCCACTAATGTGGAGCAGGCTTTTCAGCATGTGGCTAGAGTGGCATTGGCACAAGAATCTGAGGTAAATCACCTTATTCTGTACCATCAGTCATAATTTTATGGTTCTTACTGTTTCAATTTCTCTTTCAATACTAATATTCACAGATCACCATATCCACGGGTATTTCACTTGATTAAGTTTTACTACAGAGCTGATTCCATACACCACTTCTAGTCAGTCTAGTTAGACCTCTAGTCGGCAATCTGTTTTTACAACCACAATCACAGAGAGACCAAATCCCTGTTAACCACCAGCGAAAGGGTTGCATACAACAATGTCGCTCGTACTGTAGTAGTGATCGAATCCCACCATGCATCAGTTTGCCCTAGGCTGCCTATATACTTCGGTGGGAGTTTCGTAAGCATGACAGACGGTTTATTTATTCCACAATGTGAATTACCGTAAACGGGGAAATCCCCATGGACAAATAGCATACTGTAAAGGGGAGAGTAGGGGAACATTCACGCAAGATCCAGTTTATTGATTTTGCGTTAAAAAAATGTGAGGTTATAGGTTGGGGAAAAACAGCCAGTGTTCCACAGTTTGGCAGTTCAGGCGAAAAAAGAAGATTGAAGCAGAGAGGTACCACATCTGGGAACAGTAACCTGATACGGATGACTAGATGCCGGTGCAAGGGATGGTAGGGTAGAAATTGCAGGGTGAGGAACTACCAAGGCAAGTTCCAAAGAACAAAAAAGTAGTAGCGGTAGGATAGGGACAATAAAGCAACTGCCCGACGATGGGCTAGTGACTGTAGACTGAATGTTAGAAAGGAATCATCGATTAGCCGGATGGCCTTTCGTTGAATACGATCGAGAAGGGAAAGGGAAGAAGACAAAGCCTCACCCNGTATTCAAGAGCAGGGCGGATTTGAGCTTTGTTCAATAGATGAGCTAGGGTGAAAAAACGTCTGTCGCAAAATAAAAAGCCAACCTTGCTCGCAGCACTAGAAACAAGCTTGGTTATAAAAGGGGACCAGCACAAAGAAGGAGTTATAGGCAATCCAAGAAGGCAAAGAGAGCCTATGGAATGCAGTTGGTGGAATCAAAAGATAAATGGGGTGGGGGAGGAGGATGAGTGGTGTTTTGAGGAAATTGAAAGAAGAGAGGTTTTAGAATTATTGAATGAAACGTGATTTGCAGTGCCTCAGGAAGAGTTCGAGATCGGAGTCCAGTGACACATTAACTGCACTACGGTCACCATCGATGTTAGGTTGGGCATGGCGAGCAGTGCGGTAGGAGAGAGCAGTGGAGGGTGGCGTCATTAGCAAAAGAATAGACAGGGTTGGCCGTTTTGGAAAGGAGATTATTGATAAATAGAAGGAAGAGGGTGGGCGCAAGTACTGTACCTTGGTGTATGTACTAATTATAATCACTGTTGTTTCCTACCCACATTGTTTCCGTTTCACCTCGGTGAAACTTTCGTATTCATATTTTTCATGTGTTCTGAATCTCAATTCGGACCTTCTATCCTTCGAACTTCATCTTCACGCACAATCTGCAGCAAATCCATTGAACCATACCCTAAGGAAACACTAGATTCTAGTTTTGCTTTCATAAGGGTTCATCGGTAGTGCATATCTACCGTCCAGTGCGGGCTTTGAACTCCGGACCAATCGCCCTGAAGGCCTGTGTATTACCATTGTACCACCAAGCTCACATCAGTTCATGTTTGTTCAAACGTCTTCAGAAACGATCAATCATTTCATTTTGGCTCGACTGCAACGCAACGGTCCATATACACTATTAGCGAGCTCTGGCAAGGGTGGCACTGTAGTTTAACGCTTCCCGTATATTTCATTGACTGGATGAACTGAGCGTTGTACCCTGAGATGAAGTTTGAAGAATGACCGCTCCAAATTAAGACCACAACTACCCACAAGTAACCGTGAGTTAAATGGACCCATCCATTGTATACATTTATCTAAATCCGATAAGGTTCGATCGCGAATTTTCATAACCCTAATTATGTTAAAAGGTTTTTGAACTGTAGCTCAAATTGTCAGTTCCGACGAAAAGAACATCCAACTTCATAGTTCTGCAGCGTTGTTTACTCTGGTCCGTGCTGTTGAACTCAGTATTATTGAAACCATCATTTTTACAGCGCATGACCTCAAGCCTCGAATCCACCCCCTGGTACACAATTACCGCCCTTGTTCGTGTCGTCCAAATGCATTGTCATACAAGTATCCTGAAACAGACCAGACAGTGACTCGTGGGCTTATTATCTGGCTCGCGTATGAGCACAATTGGGCTCGGCCTGTCACGTTTTTCATTTGTTCCACATATCCGTGTTCGGAACTGTCGGTTTTCTCGTAACAGAGAGAGAGAGAGGACAGCAAAGTTTGAATCCGGATTTATTTTACCGCAATTCATTAGTGCGTGCTACTCACAACACCATGTGAATAATTAAATAATAACGTGACCTTGTTGGAATAATTAACTTCGGTATTTCTACCACGGTAGGGTCAAGGAAATGAACAATTCCTTTTGATTGCACAAACTGGGCTTCCATTGTTGAAAATCGATTACTTTTGTAAAATTGAGTGATCCGCAGTTCCTTGTAGTCAAGATTATTTTAAACACAGTTGCATGCTTGATGATATTCCTTATTCCAAGTAAACGACAAGCGACGGGTGACACCGGTGCCTGACCGTTACGTGACCGTTGACTTTGTGTTTCCGGTTCGTTTACGAGCTTGTTGAACGGTAATGGGACGTGTTCAGCAACCCGGATTCAAAGTTCTGTTCGACCCAGCTAGATGGCCGAGTACCCACACATACATGTAGGGATTTGGTTGTTCATGTTGTCACCGACGACAGTTGGTTTGATTGGAGCGGCCGGTATTCATCGACAGGTATAAAGTATGATCGGTTTGGCCTTGTAAGTTTGTTTAACTATAGGTGTGCTTCACTCATTTTGCCTTTATCGTCGTCTCTAAATGAGAGGTGCGAAAAACCTGCTTTGTTCAGAAGAACAAATGACTATGAGAAACCATTCTTCGAAAACGTGTCCTTGAGGATCTAGAGCTTGTTGCTCAGATCGGTCGCAGTGCAGGTCTTTCTGGCCTATCGCATGAGGTTTTCGCTAGTCCGTTTTTGTGTCCTAATAAAAACAAGGCTAATAAAATGCAAGTATTGGTTGAATACCAGCATGATTGTAGCACATGAATCCAACTTGTGTAGATGTGGTATTATGTAGTCCATAAAGTTCTGCGTAAGTATGCCCAATTTATTTGTTCCTCTAATCGTTTTGTTTGAATAATGAACTGAGAATCTACTCTTGAAATATAGAGCAAGACACACTTTTAAGTTTATAGCTTTGCGGTTTAATATATCCTCATATCCATAAACAATTCTGTCCTGTTTTATTTGGTCATGACATTTTCTTTGAAGGTGATATATATGCCACAACGAACAATTACTCATTGCTTCTGTTCTACCTTCCTTCCAGGCGGATATTTGCAGTGAGTTCCCTGACCAAATCCAACTGGGTACCACCCATCAGGAACCTCGAGACCGATGTGCTTGTTAACCTGAGGTCTGTTAACAATTCTCGTCCTCATTTCACTTTTCTAGACCTCATCGATCATGATATCTCGATTTGCGGCATGTCCGAATGCCCGCAAACCCATGTTCTCTTTTGCGCCCCCCCCCCTCATAATAAATAAATCTGCGTGGATTTCCTCCAACCATACTGTAGTTGCATCTGTCTATCTACTCTGTGATTCTTTTCCCATTCATTCGTTTTCCCAGGCCCTGGTCCAACGTTCGCGTTTAATTTGGTTCAGTCTCCGCATTAGCACGTGGTATTTGCTCATTCATTGGACTTCACCTTCTTCATCGCGTCTATTTTACGGGCCGACAACTTGATCTTAATCGTATCCGAACATACTGCTTTTGCCATTCTCTCCATCCCTAACCCAAACACGATCTCTTTTCTGCGGTCGTTTCCCACTATGCGAATAAAAAGCACGTGCCTATCCAGTCTCACTTTTTGACTCCCCTACTGCGATCGTCTTTCGTTTGGGTTCCTCTGCCTCTCTATTCCTTTATTCTTTGCTCCACTGACATCTATTTTCTTCGCCTCAAGATCCATGTCTCGAGTCCCGTGTTTGTGTTTGTCTAATCCCATCGATCCCCATTCCACCCTAACCCAGTCCCGCCGTCCCCGTCTACCACAAAACCATAAGCCTATGGTCACCGTTCGATTTGTAAATAATCTTATAAGTAAACTGATTTTCTAACCTAAAGCGTTGAACTTTTTTCTTTTTCTCCGTTCCATTCGTGAATGCCAGGACTGTTGCGAAATAATTGATTGGTTTCTTGTCGAGTCTATAGTCTGCCAGCGTTATAACCCTAAACCTAACTGTTGTTTCAGATATGATTAACTGCCAACAGGTGACGTTCAAATACAGTTACCTCAACTGAACCATAAAGTTACCCAATACGGGAAACAGATGTGACTGCTTTTCGCCATGACGGTCTCCTTTTTTGTATCTTTTCTCTATGAAATATATATATATATATATGGTTTGTCCAGCCTGAAGTTGATCCCTACTCCTAGTTGGAGTTTACTTGGTTTCCGTCCGATGATCATATCCACAAATCGTTTGGAAACGAAAGCCGTTTCATACGATCGCTTGATGTATCCATTAATCATGCAGTTTACCCATAGGTTAAGTAAAAACAGTGCGTGCGAACATGAATTGGGTGAATTCATTCTCAACTCCTTATATCCGAAATAAAGAACAGTCTGATCAGCTGCTCGGGGATTAGAATGGTTGGATCCGCAGTCTACACTGATAACATCCAGTGAGTTTAGTTCATACCAGGTTTTCAGTTAGTATTTCGTTTGCTCTGTTCATAGAAAATTCCGGTCAAACGAAGAGATCGATGGATCATTTGCAATGTTCCATTCCAGTGTTGCCTAGCATGTGTCAAAAGAGCACGAAAGGGTAGACGATGGGCGGACGTACGCTAAACGTGACTAAGCTTTGGAGGCGGTGTAGAGTGATTTATTCTTTTA